CAAAAAACACCTGATTAGGGCCTGTTCACTTAGCTTAATTTCAGTTTAGTCCAGTTCAGTTCATTCAATTCAGTTCAGCTCCAATCAGTTCATTTCAGCTCAGCTCCTATTAGTTCAGTTCATTTCAGTTCAGTTCAGCTCCAATAAGTTCAGTTCCGTTCATTTCAGTTCAGCTCCTAATTTCCTTATCTCACCAAAAATTTAATTCAGTTCAGTTTAGTTTGGCTCCAATCAGTTCAGCTTAATTCAGTAAATGTAAACAAGCCGTAAACTCAAAAATTATGCGATAATTATTAAAAAAATTGATATATGATAATTAAAAAATTAAATAGGATTTGTGCATCACTCATTACCTCAAAGAACATACAAGGCATATTTAGAGAACATATTTAAATGGTTTGTATTATTAAAATCCAAAAAAACATGTTGAATCAGGTATGTTATTTGTCAAACATGGTATGTTCTTTACAACATTATGTTCTTTTTGCCTTTTGAGCATGGTGCATTGGCCATCTAAAATTATCTAAATTTATTGTAAATCTCATAATAAAAGACTTAAGATTCGATATTTCCTGAGTTTGTTTGCATGCTCATACCAATCAAGCAATGACACTATATAATTATTGGATTTTACGGAAGACAACTAGACAAGAAGTAATAGAATAAATGAACCATCATGAGTTGAATCAATTTAAGTGTGTTGTATCAAGGACTGTTCTCATTGACTAAACTGAACTGAACTGAACTGAACTGCGCTGAGCTGAACTGAACTGAACTGAGCTGATCTGAATATTTTATAAGAGAAGGAAATTAGGAGCTAAGCTGAACTGAACTGAACTGAAAATAAACGTATGAGAACAGACCCTTAGTTTTATTCATTGACCCAGGGGCGGATCTATTAAGGTGCACAGTGAGTCATGTGACTCACCAGCACAAAAAAAAAAATAATAAAAATAAAAAAAAATAAAAAAAAATCTAAGAGACCGCATATTATAGATAGGGGATCTGTTTTTTGCTTCTATTTGAGATTAGCCAGCCCACTGTCAGTTTTTTAAACATCAAAGAGATCGCCTAGGTGGTCTCTTTGTTGCTGCTATTGTCACCACGTCATTAAGGACCTGTTTTCTAGATAACAGGTCTCTTTTTGTCGGCCATTGAATTAAAATAATTTTATTCGCTACTTTCATATTTCATTAAAGAGACCTGTTATATTTAATAACCGGTCTCTTAAGTTATCTAACTTTTTTTTTTAATAATTCTTGTTTTTAAGTAAAAAATCATAAAGTTAGTTTAATGTAGTAGTTTTATAGTATGTATTTTTATATCCTATTTTTGGATTGAAATCATTTTGGTGAAATATAAATTTTTTTATATAATTTTTGGATTGAAACAAGTAATCAATTATTGATGGTTTCTCATAAATTCGAAAATCTTGGATCCGCCATTACATTGACCCTAAGTTTTATTCATTGAGCACAACCTTATTAAGCAAGAAGTGTAACTATATGAATGCTAAGAAGAAAATCATATACCAATGCGGCGATATCTAAATAGTCATCACATATTAGTTCAGGGAACCAAGTCTATGTCTGATCTCATGGACTTTTCTCATGAGTCGGCAAATATATATATTAGGGTGTAACTACTCGGTATTACATTTGACCATCCTAATGCAATGGTTTTGAATGTGCCATTGCATTAGGGTGTAACTATTACATTTGACGTAGCTATTGCAGTATTAATTGTATGTGCCGTTGCATTAGCTTTATTTGGTTGTTGCATTTGATAAAAAAAAAAAAAAAAAAAAAAAAAAAAAAAAAAAAAAAAAAACGTAATCCCTCCATCCCTTAATTAAGAGCTTATTAGGGTTTTTTTTCAAGGGAATTAAGAAAGTTGGTAGAAATACATAAGTGGATGTAAAGTTAAAAAGAGATAGAAAAAAAGAAAAGTGGTAGGGAATAATTGAAGAGAAGGAGAGAGAAAGTGTTGGAAATTGATGTTTAAAGTCATCTTAGTATAAAAAAGTGAATTGACAAGTCATCAAAAAGTGATGAATATTATAAAATAATACAACCTTAAAACAAAAAGGGTAATGTTATATGTAGCCCTAAGGGCTATATATAAGCATTAAATATACTCTTGAAAATTGTATAAAATTAGGAATTCATGACAAAAACACGCGCAAATCAGTGTAATTCGTGTTTATATTTTGATGATTTCTTAACTTTTTACGATTTTCAAGTGTAAATTTAATGCTTATATGTAGCCCTTAGGGCTATGTATAACATTTTCCAATAGGCTCTTAATTTTGGGCTCCCTACAAAAAAAATATAGGCTCTTAATAAAGAGAAGGAGGCAATAGTATTTTGTAAAAATTGATTGCGTTGTGATTTTCATGCAATATTGTAAGAGTGGAATGAAATGTATGGTAGTACCGAATGAATAATGATTGTATGTGTATCATTTGCTAGTCAATATTTGTTGAACTTAAAGGAACATAAACCGAGCAAATACATAATGCAAGAGACATTAGTGAAAAACCTTGACTTTAAGTGAATTTAGGGTCTGTTCACTTCAGCTTAATTTCAGTTCAGTTCAGTTCAGCTCCAATAAGTTTAGTTTAGTTCAGTTCCTAATTTCCTTCTCTCATAAAATATTAATTTCAGCTCTATTTAGTTCAGTTTAGTTCTGCTGCAATTAGTTCAGTTCAGTTCAGCTCAGTTCAGTAAATGTGAACATGCCCTTATTCTAACTCTCAATTAATTGACTAACGACTCTATTACAACTTATTATTAGTAGTTTGATCTCGGTACTATTGAGTTCCTCTACGAACTCATGCTTGATCGGGCTGACACGGGTCTAGTCCAACAAATACTTAGCTTATCCTAACATGAATGTTTTAGGGTAAAGTAGAGTCATTCTTCCATAATAAGTTAAGTTTAATATATCTTTTAATTCAGTGCAATTTTAGCTTATGGTTTACGTTGGGATTAACGCGATTCTTCCCTAATAAGTTCCTATAATGAAAATCATTCGCGTTGCACACATGATAATAGTTTCGAATTTAGTGACTACTACTGAAAAGGGATACCTTTCCCACCAAACAAGTCATTATTACTTATTAGTGCCATTGAGATCAATTTTACCATAATAAAACTTAAAATTAGATAATACTCCGTAAGATCATTCCAAATGACACTACATCAACTCAATAACTTGAGTCATATCCCATACACCTAATTAACTCTACTAAGCTTTCCACTCAAAAGTCAAAACCTTGCATTTTAAAAAAGTAATCTATATGTGTGAACAAGAATCAAACCCTATGTTTGACTGGAAGTTTGACTCAGGGTTGTTAGATATACCTTTCTCAGGACCTACATTTACTTGGACCAATGGACATCATAATGGTAATCCTACATTTGAACGTCTTGACAAAGCCTATGCTACAAATGATTGGATTATTAAGTATCCTGAAGCTTCTATTCTGCATCAACCAATTCTATTTTCGGATCATGCTGCAATTATTCTTCGGGAACATAGAGTTTCGGAGGGTCGCAAACCATATAGAGTAGACAACTGGTGTCTTCTCTCAAAGGAAGTAGCTTCTATCGTATCTTTCTCTTGGAAGTTGGATATTTTGGGCTCCCCTATGTTTTCTATTTCTAGGAGATTGGAGGATTTACGTTCAAAATTGCTTAAATGGTGTGTTACTCATAGAAAGCTTTGGGGCATCAATTGGAAAGAATTACATGATTCAATATCCCCATTAGCTCAAAATTTGGAATCCAAACTTCATAGACATCTTTTTCTTTCGTTAAGGGAAGAAAAAGTCAAGCATTCTCAGGCAGCCTACCTTTACTGGAAGCAGCGGGCTAAATTTAAATGGGATGTGTTAGGAGACTCTCACTCACATCTTCTTTTTTCTTATGTTCAGAACCGTCGTCGAAAGAATACAATTCAAGGTTTACAGACTTCTTCAGGAGATTGGACTTATGATCAGGATCAGATTCGATCTATTGTCTTTGATTACTTCTCCTCAATTTACAGAAGTAATCAACCTCTTCAACAAATTCCTGAGGTTGATTGGTCAACCTTGAGTTTACCCTGTTTATCGAAGGTTCAAAGGACTAATCTTATGGTTCCTTTTTCTGCCTCGGAAATTAAAGCAGCTATGTTTAGTATATATGATGCTAAGTCTCCTGGGCCAGATGGGTTTACGTCTGCCTTTTTTAAGTCTCATTGGTCTGTTGTAGGATCCTCGGTTATTGAAGCCATTCAGTATTTCTTTTTGCATGGTCACATGCTTAAGGAATGGAATCGAACATTCATTGTCCTCATTTCGAAGGTAGATAATCCTCAACAACCTTCACAATTTAGACCTATTGGTCTATGCAATGTTCTCTATAAATGTATTACCAAGTGTCTTGCTGCTCGACTTCGGATAATTCTTCATTCTCTCATTTCCGACTGTCAGTCTGCTTTTGTTCCGGGTCGTCTCATGTCAGATAATGGTCTTCTTGCTCATGAAGTTCTCACTTATATGAATCACTTGCGGGGTCGTACTATGTCAGTTGCTCTCAAGCTTGATATGAACAAAGCTTATGATAGAGTTAATTGGCAATTTTTATGGCAAGTTCTTCAGAAGTTTGGATTTCCCCCGTATTGGATACATATTATTCAACAATGTGTTTCGACAGTCTCTTATCAGTTACTTGTTAATGGAAATCCGACTAAGGTTTTTAGACCCTCGTGTGGTCTTCGCCAAGGAGATCCTCTATCATCATACTTGTTTGTTCTTTGTATGGAAATTTTTTCAGCTATGATTAATCAAGCGGAGAACACCGGTCTTTTTAAAGGAGTTAAAGTATCTCGTTATGCTCCTTCTATATCACATCTGTTTTTTGCAGATGAATCTCTTCTTTTTTTCCAACCTTCTCCCCAGGCCTATTCCAATGTTCTTGGAGTTGTTCCAGCAGTTCTGTGATATTTCAGGTCAGATGATAAATTTACAAAAATCCTTTGTTCGTTTTAGCCCTAATGTTCCAGAGGATTATCGAGATTTTTTAGCCAATTCCTTACAGCTAAAAAGTCTTCCTTCACTTGGTACCTATTTGGGGCTTCCGGTGGATATGGGTAGAAGTAAATGCACAGCTTTTAAACCTCTTGTGGACAAGATTACTTCTCGGTTAACGAGTTTTTCTTCCTTAAATCTCTCACCTGCGGCCAAATTAGTTGTGATCAACTCGGTGTTGATTGCTTCTCTTAACCATATCTTATCTCTTTTTAAGATCCCTTCTTCGATCTCGGACAAAATTAACAATCTATTGGTCAGATTTTGGTGGAAAACAGGGAATCACTCCAAGGGTTTGGCTTTAACTCCTCCTTCTGTCTTGTTTACTCCAAAGGGTTTGGGTGGTCTGGGTATTCGGCATTTGGTTTTTTTTTTTTTAATTCTGCTTTGCTTGCTCGTCAATCTTGGCGTATTATGCAGAATCCGCAACTCCTGGTTTCTCGGGTTTTTCAGGCCAAGTACCCTTCCCTTCTGTGTTTCCGGTCACAAGGTCGTCTTTCTTATCCGTCCTGGGGTTGTCGAAGTGTTCTTCATGGAATACAGACCTTAAAGATTGGTCTTGCTTGGAAAATTGGCAATGGTTCTAAGGTTCACATTCTTCAGGATTCTTAGGTGCCTGGTTCTCCAGTTTACTTTAAGAATTCTCTTGCTGGATTGGTTCAGCCGACTCTGGTGTCTTCTCTTTTGGATCCTATTTCAAATGCTTGGTATCCTACTTTAATTCATGCTTTGTTTCCGTCAACCATTGCCTCCAAGATTCTGAGTCTCGAGCGTCCTCCTCAGCTGATGGATGATTATGTTTATTGGAAATACTCGAGAGACGACAAATTTTCCTCTAAATCGGCTTATGCAAAGCTGGTCGCTTTGTCGGATCAGCTTCTTGAAGGTTCTTCTCCAATTCATCCTATTACTTGGAGTAAATTTTGGGCTCTTCCTATTTTACCCAAATGGAAGCTTTTTATTTGGAAAATTTTTCACAATGCTCTTCCTGTAGCGGATACTTTGAGATCTAAGGGTCGACCTGTAGATCCTGTTTGTTCCTTTTGTTTTCATGCTTCTGAGACTACCGAGCATTTATTCCTTCGATGTTCATTTATCAGGAGATTATGGCATTGTGGTCCTCTAGGTATTCGGCTTCCTTGTTTCAACACCTCCTTCCATCAGTGGTTTAGCTCTTTACTCCTCTCTGTCATATCTATAAAGAATTGGGATGGTTTGGATTCTATATTATCTTTTGCTTGGGCCATTTGGATTCATCGTAAACACATTCGGTTTAGACAATCCACCTGTTCTCTGCCCATGCTTTTCAAGATTGCTCAGGATTGGACTACTCGGAGTCAGGCGGCTAGGAGTTCATCTTCTTTCGATTACTCCATTCCCCCTGGTTTTGGCTCCCCGAATCATTCTTCCTTTCTTGCGGGAAATCCTAATATTTCTCCTACAGTAATTCTTATAGTGGACGGAGCCTGGGATTCTTCGGACTGTCGGGCTGGCATGAGTTGGTGTTTTTATTCGTTAGATACAGCCAGCAGTTTGGGTGGTGCGGCTCGTGCGTGTTTTTCTCTTTCAGCTTTCCAAGCGGAACTTCAAGCTTGTCTTTTTGGTCTTAAGATGGCTCTCCAACGTGGGTATTCTCGTATCCTTCTACGCACTGACTGTTTGTTATTGGTTTCTATCCTTCACAGGCCGTCGCAGGATTTGGCTACTATTTGGGTTCAGCAGTAGCTCCGAGATATCCTTTCTTTGTTTGAAGTTTGTTCTGTTCAGAAGGTTCCTGGAAGTGCGGTTCTTCCTGCTCACTAGTTGGCTACTTTATCTAGGAAACGTCAGTTAATTATCTACTTATTTTAAGTTTTTTTTAGTTAACCTTTGTCAAAAAAAAAAAAAAAAAAAAAAAAAATCAAACCCAAATTATTCCCCCAAAATTTTCAAAATTAGCAACATTGAAAAATGAAAATTCAAAAGATTTATTATATGACGTGTAACAACATTCGTTCTCCCCCACACGCATGGGAACAGTCAGTCAAGTACCGTTGGCACGCCTAAGCTGCCTAAGCTAAGTAATTAATCTTTGCTTTCCTTCTTTTCTTCCTCCATTTTTCCGATTCTCTACTCCTGAACAACCTTCTTCTTCCTCTAATTTTCATCAAATTCACTAACTCAACAACTATTTTTCCGATCAACTGAGTGAACTTCGAGCTCTAACTGCCGATTTCTTTGCCGGATTTTTCGGGTGCATCCCTAATTTTTGTGGGTTATTTTTGGTAAAGATTCCCTCTTACCATTTCTTGCACGTTTTATTAATTATTATTATTGATTTCACCTAATTAATACTTAATACTACTATTGTTTATTTAAGATGTGCAAGAAATTTGAACCCAAGTTGCTGTTATTATTTATATTTGATTTGTATATTTATATATGTTGGATTTGGGGTTTTTGGGTACCCTTTTTGATTAATTTTATTGGGGGTTGGATCTTTTTTGATGTTTGGTTGTTGTTAGATTTAAATGATTTCCCTCTAATGATGTAATTGTAGCCGTTAAGTATTTTGTTTAATTTTATTGGTTAAAATGATCGAAGATTAGCTGTCTAATTTGTATTATGCTGTGATTGATGTTATTCGGTTTCATTATTTTATAGCTATTTTTAGAAATTTCCTTGAAATAGTGAGGGGTTGTTATATTGAGTTTAACTTGTGAAGATATTATGTTGAGTGAAAGGTTTCGGAATTTGGATGACTGTTTACAGTAGTTGTTCAATTTGATATCAATAAATGTATGTGAATGTGAATGGGAAAAATAATAGGATGCTTAATCGCGGCATTTTTATGGCACGATCTGAGAAGAGGTGTTTGGAAATTGGAATGACTCTAATCTGACTTGAAAATAGTTTGCGGTTGGGGTGTGTGTGGGGAAATTACTTTTATTTTTCACAAGGGCTATAATAAAATAAAAAATGAATATCCGTTGATCTGTCATTGAATATCCGTTGAAGACTCATAGTTTTCACTGGTCATTGGTAAAGTGGAAAGTGCGTGCTTTGTGTGTTTTGGTTGATATGTAGCAGGTATTGAATGTAAATGGAAAGCCATGATTGGCTATGACTAATTCAGTACCATGATTGATCTTATTATAATCTAAATATATTCTATTGGTAGGTATAAGTAGCATGTGAAAATGATTTAGAAATTTAAAAAATCTCTTGATTCTCTTGTATGGCAAGTCAAATGAGGCATAAATCCCCGAGCAGTTACAACTTACAAGTTGGGTGGTCTTTAAATCGTGAATGCCAATTGATAAAGTAACAGATTTCTGTAGCTAATTAGCTAGTTTCTTTCAAGGTATCTACTGGAATGTGATTCTGACATTAATAGTAAGAATTATGGTGGATTTAACAGGGTAACTAGTAAATACTCTATAGAGAAATTGTTTTAATCTTATTGCATGATTGAGTCTAATAGGGGTGTGATATATTTAGTCAGACCAACATGCTGGTCAAACTTGTTGAAGTCTCGGTTTAGTTTAATAGTCATACTATTTCACCCGCACTCTTCATTTCACCTCAAGTATCCGTGTCGGACCCCCGACACTTAGCCATGGGTAGGATGCTTAGACACTAAATTTTAGTTCAGAATCATAAAAAATTTCACAAAATAGCCGAGTCGGACACGTGGACTCGTACCCGTGTTGGACATGGGTACCCTAGTCCAGGTAACATACTCAAAACTTAACGTTGAAAACTTGGAATGTAGCTTAGTCCACCATTGCAGTTTGGTTATAACAATATAATTTGTTTTAAAATAGCAACAATCAGCTTATAAGTAGTAGAGTTTGTAATTGGTGAAACAGAGTCTTTAGTCAGTTTATATAACACTTGGAGCGTATTTGAAATCAACTCTATCTCCATATTCTGAAGGTGTATCCATGTCTAGGTTTTCTATCTTTACCCATGATGCTTCATGAAAGCTATGTTCTCTTCACCTTATCAAAGGTGTTCTGAGATGATTTTTTTTAGGTTCTAATCTAGTCTGGTCTGAATTATTCTATTTTAGTCTTATTTTATATCTGAATAGTTTTCTTTATAATTTGGTCTAATTTTCTTGTCCGGTCTTGTTTGATTCTAACATGATTAAGTAATAAGAATAATGTAAAAAGAACAATACCAAAATCTTTCCTATATCTACCTTTTGTACTGTGTTGTTTCTTCTCCATGTAGCTGTTATTGCAACTATCAATTTATCACGTGGGCCCCGTACCAATGATTCATATGTAGTAGTGTTCTGCTTCTTTAGCTCAACAGTAACATTTCCAATGCCTTAATCCTAAAAGGATAGGGTTGGCTTGTATTGTGCAAGCTGAGTTGTTGAATGTAAATCAATGGAAAATAAGTGGGTTAAGTGTGGTCTTATATTGTTTTGGGTTGTAGAATATTCTTGACGGTATATAGCTCAAATTAAGCTTGATAGGAGAAAGTCCTTGAAGGTTTGCATTATTACTTGCTTTGCTCTGCATACCCATCCTTCACTTTTATGTGTCGCACACCCCTTCCTCTTGACCCAGTCAGTGGCTATTGCCTCAGGCATACCCTTGTTATTTTTGTACTCATGGACTTCCATTTTTAGCTGCTATTTTCATTTCTTTTCTAATAGGTTTCCATGTTAATGTTCTCTTCAGGTTCTTCATTTTTTTTTATCTAGTCTTTGTTCTTTTTCTTTTTTGATTAAGTGCTTTGATTGGTTGGATGGAATCTTATTCTTCTTATCCCAATTGTCTCCACTACCCTTTTGTCGTTGATTGGACTGCCAAAGTAGATAGAGTTGCAGCTTTAGAAATTGAGAAATGGGTGCCTTAATCTTCTAGTTTTACTTGGTGCATTGTGTCCAACTTGGGTTTTTGTGGGAGTTATCTGTGATATTGTTGATCTTTGAGTCAAATTGTTTACTTGTGCTTTTCTGTAACTTTAATTTTGATGGTAAGGGGCGCATGATGAGGAAGTTGAAGGGGGAAAAAGTCTCGCCGTAATTCATTATCGAATTTATTATTGTTACGATCTATGCTTACATAACATGTTTACATTTGGACAGATCTTGAGATCTCATTGAGATGCCAAACTCGTTGGAGTTAGCTAAGCATGAGACAGATGTTGGACCTGCTATAAGAGAAGACAGTGAATATGTAAGTCTGGTGACATCTGATTTAACTAAGAGGACTGAAGCTGGGGTCTTACATTCCCAGGCTGAAGTCAGATCGAAGTCCTTAGCCTGGTGGATCAAAGCCTTGATACTATTCAGTACTTCTGTAGCATGTGTTCTTGTATTATTAAAATGGGGAGTTCCATTTGTTTTTGAGAAGGTATGTCCTGTTCATTTTCTTTCAATTTTTCCCTAAAACTGTGCGTTTATGTTCTCTTTTTCTTTTTAAATTGATTTATGTTTATTTTTGTCTTAAAGCACATGAGAATCAAGGATCATAAAGTATTATTCATTTATTGCTGCAGTTTTCAATAATTGCCAACATTTGCCACCCATACAGATAAAAGTAAACTTGTGTGTAGAATCATGATTTTATAGAAATGACATAGGAATAGCTTAAAGCTTTACCCAACCAGAAATGTCTTGAAAGTCATGAAATCAATGACAGGAAAGAATTACATGAGCTACATACCAAGTAATTAAATTAATAAAAGCATCACATCATGTAGTTTCATCTCTCCCTCCCCCTCCGCCCCATTCTTCAACATGTAAGGACCTTGATTGTTGCTTTTCTTACACTTTGGTGCTCGCATTGCATATACTTAGTTAGGGAAATGGTATCTGAAATTGTATATACTTATAGTTGCTTTAAAAATGGATGCAAGGCAAAACTAAAACCTACCGTATGATATTAAATTCTATCAAAATCGTACTTATAAATTTTAATTTATAAATTCTTGCTCTTGTTAATGGAGATTATCATGAGCAGATCCTCGGAAATTGTCATTTTGACATGCATACTCACATCAAATCTCTGAGTGAATTCTGTTGTGTTAAGATATCACAACCTATGACGTACAAATAAATATGTGATCCCATATGATGGTGAATGATCCCAAGAGTGGACATGGCTAGAGTTCTTATGTTATTAATTTAAATCAAAAGACATTGCCTCAAAACAGAAAGTCATAAATCTTTTTGCACTGTCTTTGGCGTGGCGTTCTTTGTTTGTTTAACCAGAATTCACTTGCCTCTTGTTTTGGCATCTATTATTGTGTAGATTCTTCTTCCAATGATGCAATGGGAAGCCACTGCCTTTGGTCGTCCAGTACTTGCTTTGGTGCTTGTTGCTTCTTTGGCAATCTTCCCTGTACTTTTGATCCCTTCCGGACCTTCCATGTGGCTAGCAGGCATGATCTTTGGTTATGGTCTAGGCTTTGTGATAATCATGGTTGGAACAACTATTGGGATGATTCTTCCATATGCAATTGGATTGCTGTTCCGGGATAGAATCCATGTAAGATGCCGAGAACTCATTATTTTGATAAATTATATTTCACTCCTCTTTCTTGATCATTAATCATTTATCATTTGTTACTAGCAATGGTTAAATAGATGGCCAGATAAGGCTGCTATGCTGCGATTGGCTGCAGAAGGCAGTTGGTTTCATCAGTTTCGTGTGGTCGCAATCTTTAGGGTTTCACCATTTCCTTATACTATATTCAACTATGCAATTGTGGTGACAAATATGAGATTTTGGCCGTATCTGTGGGGATCAATTGCTGGAATGGTGCCAGAAGCTTTTATATACATATACAGGTGAGTTCATGTTTTTATTGTCGACCATACCCATTCTTTATTTTAAAGCGAGAAAGAGAGGACAAACAAGAAAATGCTTAGCTTGTTCTGATTGTAAAAGCTAAAAGGCGCCATTTTCATATTAGTGCTTTAATCTTAGGCTCATACAGCCGTTATATTATTGGATTCTGGCCTAAATATTGATTAACAAAATAATAATTGCAGTGGCCGATTGATAAGGACATTTGCTGATGTCAAGTACGGGAATCATCATCTAACATGGGTGGAGATTGTGTACAATATAATCTCCCTCATCGTTACTATACTCACCATTGTTGCTTTCACTATGTATGCCAAGAGAGCCTTAGATGAACTTAAGATGGCAGATGCTAAGGAAGACCGAGAAGGAGGTTCATCAACCCATGATTTCCGGATACAAATGGACAGTCTTCCGCTCGAGAGACCCAGACATCAAGATCTGACATCTTACAATTCTTAATGTAGGCAGCAAAGATAAGTTTAGCTTTGTAAATAAGGAGTTGCTAAATTGGGGTACAAGGGGATGAAATGTTTGTATATCACAGAATGTATCATCATACGCACATTGTTAACATGAGATAATGCGTCTAATCTTATTCTCATGTGTATTAAGTGTTTTCTTTTTTTCTTTTTTTTTTTGGCCTGTTGATTTAACATAATGGTGCATACTAATTTTTTAATCCAATTTTTCATTACTAGTTTGCAGTTCTCTAAATTTCTGAGAAGTTTATGGTGCTACATCTGCTTTACGTTCATCAGTTCATCCTAAACAATATTTAACCAGAGTAATTTATATCACTCCCTCATTTTGACAAGTGTCATAATATGACTTTGGTTAGCGCCATAATTTAACTTTACATTATTCACAAACATCATTTAGACCAATGTTTGTGCTTTAACCGTCTCCAATGGTGAGACTTAATTTAAGTATTGAAATACAAAATGAGTTGTTTTTTACCTTCAATGGTGAGATCATACCCATTTCTCAATTTAGCAACTCATGTTAAGTCTAATTTTCCAACGGTGACTCTCTAAAATATACAAATGTCACTTTCAATTTATGGCACATAAATTATTGTAAGATTAAAAAATAATAATAATAAAGGTAAAACTTAAATAAATTACAAAATATATTAGAATATTGATAAGGGCCCCCCTTTTTTGTCAAATGAGACTCAAAGTTGAGTATTTAAACTTAGACCTGGCAATCTTGACCCAGACCTGATGACCCGACCCATGACCCGAAATCGACCCGAAATCAGTGACCCGAAATTGACCCAAAACCCGAATTAACCCATACCCGACCCGAAGTGGAACCGACCCGACCTTGATCCAAAACCCGAAATGACCCAACCCGAAACGACCTGACCCGAAGTTGACCCGAAACGACCCGACCCAAAGTTGACCCGAGACTCAAAGTTGATCCGACCCGAAAATGACCCGACCTTTAACTTCTTTTACTAAATAATTGTATAAGTTATAAAAAGTTTATATTAGGAAATTATACATTAAAATAGACCCAACAACATCTTACATGACTACATTGACTTTCATATAATAGCTAAAAAGACGGTCAAAGTGAGATGTGTAAATAGTGCTAAATATTAAATCATTAAGAGTAATTTGTGACAGAGAGAGTATACGAATAATTCAAAGAAATTATTACAACAATGACAATGATAATAAGAGTACGTATTAAAACTAAGATCAATAAGACATTGAGGTATAATTCAATTAGTTAGAGCATCCATCTTAGTTTCAGGAGATCCTGAAAGTTATTCTCAATCTAAACACACACACACACACAAAAAAAAAAAAAAAAGGTTAATATAAGTTAAACAATTACTATATTTCATGAAAAAAATAGCCTTAATAAATATAGTGAGTTTTTTGTCAATAAATAAATAAATATATATACAGAGTTGAATGTAACCCAATGAATCACCCGAATATGACTCGACTCGAAGTTGACCCGACCCGAAGTTAACCTGAAAATTGACCCGACCCGAACTGACCCGGCCTGAAAATTGACCCGACCCGAACTCTAACCCAAGTGGTGACCGATACCCGACCCGACCCGATTATCAGTCGACTCGAAATCAACCCGAAACGACCCGACCCGACCAGAACTTAACTCGATAATTTTTTGATCCGAACTTGACCCGACCCATACCCAACCCGAATGATCCATTTTCCAGGTCTATCTAAACTTAGCAACTTTCTTTTAGAGTTGCTAAGTTTAGATACCAACTTATTGGTATACATTACAAAAAATACTTTCTCTCTTAAAAATACTCACTTGAGTCTCACCATTGGAGAGGGTCTTATCCATACAAAAATCAAGGAAAATTTGTCAGTCATTATGGCACAATAAAGCCTATTAGGGAATTAAAACTGTAAATTTAGAAACATGTAAATTACTTCTGCAATTTTTTATTTTATTTTTTTTACAAATTTACTATTACTCCTAAACCTCAATTTTGGCCAATAATAGCATCATTAATCACCATTAACTCTCCCCTCAAAAAAAAAAAAAATCATCATTAATTCTCATTTACCCCAAATTTACCACTTAAACTACTAAAAAAAAAAAATATCTTTTTAACCCAAGGTTAGTTAACCTAAATTTCTCTCTTATGCTTTTTCTTTGACCTCTAACTTTTTTTTTTGAAAGAATTCTTTGACCTCTAACTTTCAAATTCACCATCACCTAAACTACCCTTATCTCTAGTTTACCACCTAAATTACCCAAAAAAAAGATATTATTTTTCAAACCCAAGGTAAACTAACCTAAATTTCTCTCTTATGTCTTTTCTTTGACCTCTGACTTTCAACTTCACCATCAATTTGAAGAACATTCTGCAAATTGGCATCACTCTTCTGCTCTACTCACGGGATCTAGATAAGAAATGAACCTTATTCTTGGATTTTCTTTGGTCCATGACTTCATAATTGATGTATTCAACCTACACTTGCATTTCCAGCCTAATGAACTTGACTCTCTAAACAGAGGGTTCTATTTTCTCTTATCAAGTTACATATTATGCCTAGTTAAAAACCATATTTTAATCAACCAAAATCAAAAGCCATAAACCCTAAAATGCATAAACCATGCATGCAAAAATCCGGTAATTCGAAAACACTAAAAAAAAAAGAATTTTTTAGAGGTGAAATAGCTATTTAGGAATTGAATTTGAACTTAATTGAGAGCTGAAATTAAGCTTAACAGAACAAGTCCTTAGTATGAATTTTGAAGGAGGAAGCTTGGATGAATTTGATCAAGGGTGAAGGAGAAAGATCGAACAGAGTGAAAGAGAGGAAACGAGGGTTTAATTTAATGAAATAACAGGGTTTTACCTTAGGTTGAAAAAAAATTATTTTTGATTAATTTAGGTGGTCAACTGGGTTAAATGAGGGTTAAGAGTGACTAATAAAGTCATTATTGGCCAAAAGTAGGGTTTGTTAGAAATAATATATGATATTGATAAAATACATGTACTCCCTTTGTCCCATAATATAGAAAATGTTTTCCTATTTTAGAGAACCAAAATGTTGTTCCTGTTTCTATTTTATGATATTATATAAATACCATTATATTCTCACCTTTTTTTTTTTAACTTTATTCATTGTACTTCCTAATTTACCCTTGAATTTTGCACTTTCTCTCTCTAACTTTTGTTTATGATTGTACTTTTTGTTTTGGGTGTTTTTGTCCCTCAGGAGAGTTACGTCACAAAGACTGGTCTGGATGAGTTGTACCTGCAAAAACAACGGAGACTCCGGGTGGTTGGAGCTCCGCCTCCGACGATCAAGTTAGAACGTGTTGGAGTAAATAAAAAGTGCGGAAAAAGGTAAAAGTGAGATCATCTCAGATTCCGAGATCAGGAGATTTCTCTGATGTGAGAGAATATGGATGTAATAAATGATTGAATGTGTCCCTGATTTTGGGGAATTTCTCCCTATTTATAAGGTCGTTGGAAAAGTGCCTCTCCCTAGGTCACTCTGACCTAGATTTTATGGGCTGCGCCGCAAAGTGCGTGGGAATTAGGCCCTTGAAGGCCGCAATTTTGATTATTCTCTGAGGTTGCCACGTGTCAGCTGGTGAGTGGCCTATGGTGGCCTGCCAGAGCTTGACACGTGGGCCTCTCTCATTGGTCCACGTGTCTAGGGTATTTTTACCCTAAACATTTGCCCCTCACAAGGGTGACGTGGCGGGCCACGTGATGCCTGTGACACGCGTCTCCGTGTGAGTGGTGAACAGTAATAACGACTATTCATCTTCTGGGGTGTGACGGGGATACCTCCGTTTCACCCCTCTATAAATAGTGTTTTACCCCCCTCTCTCCTCTCATTTACAAACTTCTGAGATTTTTCTAGAGAGAGAAAGTGAGATTCTAGAGAGAGATTCTCTGATCCCGTTTGCGTTAGAGTTTTCAAGATTTTCGAGTGCTCACTTACAACACCCGGTCACCGTTTGTTGCAGTTTTCAGAAAATTCAGAATCAAAGTAAGGTAACCGCCTGTACCCTCTTTCAACCTTTTCTTCTTTTCAGTTTGTATAAATTCTTTTTTCCGTCAGTGTACCTTCTTCGAAAATAAAAATGGACTCTCCATCCACACACTCGGCACTGCCTAGGACATTCAGCCGGTATCCTGGTACGGCTGAATCCAAAACCAGGGGTGTCTTTTCTGATCAGTCAAAACTGCTTTGCTCTTCCCCGAATTCCTCCCTCTCTGTATCTGTGCAGGACACAATGGCCAGGGTGAAACAAACGATTGTTAAGACCAGACATCAGCGCGCTAGGGAAGTGCCCGCAGATGAGGTTATTCGTGACAAGGACAACATCTGAAGAAGAGACAAACAGTGAGGAAGTCGTCTCCTCTCTAGAGGTGGAAGAGGAGTCAGGCGGTGAGGAGTTTGTCTCCTCTCAAGAGGCAGAGTAAGAGACAGGTGGTGAGGAGGCCGCCGAGAGATCGGGATCAGATGCTTCTGTCTTTGAACAAGATAATTTCGCAGCTGACTACCAGCAGCCGGCTAAGACCTCTGCTCACCCTGACCCGAAGAAGATAAGGATGCTTTTGGGTGATGTAGCCTTGTTGAAGAGCGGCTTTAAATCCTTCAAGGAAAAACACCCCTTTAAACATGCACAAAAGGCGTGATCAAGCAATAACAATAAATATAATATCAAGCAACATGATAACCATTAATTATAACAATTATAATCATAATAAAAATAATCATATCAACGCTAAAGCATAATAATAGCAAGATCCTAAGCATGATACTAACAAGATTAATAACAAACCCTAGCACGTCACTAAGCAATAAAAATCAAAGCTTTAACCCTAACATGATACTAACATGATATTAGGAAAGAAAATAGGAGGCATCATAGAAATCATAATTGATATAAATAAGAAACGTATTCCTACCCCAAACATCATACTAAGAAAAGCATCCTAACATGATACTAGGAATCAAAATAACAACCTAAACATGATTTCTATATCATAATATCAATAAAACAATTAAAAGTACTTACTTAGATGCCTCGTACCTCTTTCTAGTAACAAAATACACACGTTAGTAACTTCAAGGAAAATATAAAATCAAATAATTAAATCAAATAATTGAAATAAAGATTAAGAAAGTTTGGACTAGATTTGGGACCAAACCCTCAGAATTCAAACCTTTCATGTCT